ATATCATCTTACTCGAGGATTTTCTAGAACTTTTTATAATTTTTTTCTAGAGAAAATCCAATTTTTGGATGCTTCAAAAATTATTTTCATGAGATTCAAACATTTTGTTTTGGATCCTCATGTTTGAATTATTTCTTCAGAATTTGGTTTTCCAAATTTTTGAAATATTTTTTGTGGGTTTAAAATGATTTTAGCTTCTTTTGGAATGATTTTCAAACTAACAATATTTATGAAAATTCTAAAAATATGTTAAAATGATTTTTTAGAAACATAGACAAAGGAGCAAGAACATTAAACTTTTTTGGTGCTTTGGTTGCTCTCCATAAGAACCTATTCTTAAAGCGGCAAACTAGTGTTTACAGTACAATAACCATAAGGGATATTATGGCTCGGACCTTGGCTGAGTAATTTGTACTACTATAGCTTGTTAGTGTGGCTATCGAAAGGTGCGAGATAGGGAACTTTGTCCCATTGCTTGCTAAGTATGTGGTATGCCACAACCATATGAGCCACTTGAGAGGACTATTTCCATGCACTAGGTTTAACTTGTTAAGGGAACTTCAGAAAAGTCTCATAGTGAAATCCTATCGACTCACCTTGTAAGTGAGTAAAGAGGTTGGCTACCATGGCCAAGTTAGGGTCACGATTCATTGGTAAAGTTGTACGACCTCTTTTGAGTGCTGTTTATAACAGTTATAATAATTGTGTTTGGTTACCATGGATGATTTGGGTTCAAATTTAATCCAATGAAGCAATTTCTCATCTCTTGGGTATGTAAGCATAATGTAGCAACTTAGGCATAATAAATAAAATATGGTCAACTAAAAGTACTTGATGTAGTACAACCAGGTCTTGCCTTTTAAGGTTGCATAAACTTGTGTTATACTTGTTAAGCATGGTGATCTCACACTTTTTTAAATCTAACAAAATCCAAGATGGGTACTAACTCGAAGAAGTTCCAAAGAAGTGTGCTCCCCTAGTCAATATCATCCCTATGGAGAATGGAGGCCTATAAAAGATTGATAATCATTTCTGCTGTGTTGTATTATTGTAACACCCAAAATACGTTTTGTATGTTAGAAAGCGCAACGTGGTAAATGTTTTAATGGGAGTTTTAATGAGTGGCAAAAATATTTTTTTATTCGTTTGTCGGATGGATGATCAAAGATCATAGATGTGTAGAGCTCATTGAATGCATTCCGTTTGACTACTCATAGGTGTTGTTCGGAGTTCGGATGAAGAAACTATGGTCATCGGAAGATTTAATGGGAAGCAATGTCGTGAACGGTAACAATGTTACTGTAGCTCGTGGATACATTAACCAGGTCGGGTTAGTCCCATGTTTTCCTGCCGTGCCTTTTCTTTTCCCCAAACCGGCACCACCTATCCAACCCAACAGTCATGAAGGGAAAGAAATAGAGAGAAGGAATTGAAGGAGGGGAGGGACTAGGGTTTTGCCGTGGATCACCGCCGTACTCGGTCCTCATCTAAAACCGGTTCCGTATCTTCTTCTCTTCTTTTGTTGCCCTCAATCCCTTGTTTTCCCTTGCTGTTCTTGATGGTGATACCATCCATGGAGTAGATCAAGTCGATGGGACGTGTAACACGGAGATCACTGCGAGGGAGAAAGGGAACGGGAGATCAAACGTTGTTTATCTTTGTCATAGCCGCCGGGGCCATTCTGAGAGTGTGTCCGCCATAGATCACGGAGTCCAGGACTCTTGGGTGGAGGACCTGGCCGGGGCTGAAGGCGAACGTGGGCGCTGGCCTATCGACGTTGGTGAACTCAGGGTTCCCATGGCGGATGCGGCCGTCGGAGGCCGTTCCGTGGGCAAGTCCGTCAAAGGTGTGAGGAGCCATCGCTTCCTTCTCAACAAGGAGAGTGCGCGATTGTCCCTTACCTGGCGCATCAACTGTCAGTGTTTTGTCAACCAACGAGTGAATTTATACATATGTTGTGTTGCTCTAGGAAGATGATGGTAGCATCCAAGACACAAGGAATTATACTGGTTCAGGACGAAGCCCTACGTCCAGTCTCAGAGAGAGTTCGAGTGCATGTTCCTCAGTTGAATGCTCTAAAGTTCTTACAATGGGGTGTGTAACAAGAGGGAAAGAGGTAGGAGAGTGGTGAGGGACTGCCCGAATGAAGTCTTGAGAGTCCATCCCCTTGGAAGGGAGGCCTGGCTGCCCTTATATAGAGTCTGGGGGCCAGGTTACATACAGAGAGAAAGGTTCTCCCGACCGAGTGGTCTTGAGCCTGAGGGAGGGAAAACTAGTAAACTTGGCTTGCATGGAAGGCCGTCTTGTCTTGGTGTCAGTGCACGTCTGGGTATGGTTGTTGTCATGGTCATGTGCCCACATCGCGTCATGCCGTGGCATGATGCTACAGTGTCGGTCATGATGGCACTGTTGGCACGGTGGTGGTTCGCCAACTGTCCTATGCGACGTGAACTTGTCGTGGCCTTCGTCATCGTCTCGTCATGGCGACAGTGAGGGGACAGGTAGCCATCCCTGGGTCATCGGTCGCCTTGCTGGTCGTGTGGCCGGCGGCCTCAATCCTGAGCTGCGAGGTCAAGGCCCTAGTTGGCTTGGTCGGTCTTGAAAGTCAAGGTCATGGTTGTGGGCCCCATCTCATAGAGGGTGGGGCAGTACGCCCGTCTCATCGGGCCATATTTGGACGGTAGGTCACCATACCGGTCATCACCGCCTGGCGGTGTCGTCTTGTCCGCGCAGCATGGCGCATGGATGGAGTGTGTCCTAACTGAGGGGATAGCTGTCACCTCAGTTCGGGCAGAGTGAGTGGGGCGTGTCTGCCCTTGTCAGGGCTGGTGTACCCAATGGGGCTCGACCTCTCCCCGTTCCTTCCCAGGGGTCGAGACGGAGGAGACGTCGTGCGGTGCTGCGTTGCGTGTCATGGAAGGAGGAGGGAGAGGTCGTGGTTGACCACCTGCCTTAGTGCGTGGCCCGGGTCCGCGCAGCTTAGATGGGCCACGGCTGCTGGGCTTCTGCTAGGTTGGCCGTCGTGGGTCGCCCGAGCGGCTGACTAATCGGTGTCCTGAGATACCCGGGGTATCATAACCCCGACACCTATCGACTCACCTTGGAAGTGAGTAAAGAGGTTGGCTACCAAGGCCAAGTTAGGGTCACGATACATGGGTCAAGTTGTACGACCTGTTTTGAGTGTTGTTTATAGTAGTTATACTAATTGTGGTTGGTCACCATGGATGATTTGGGTTCAAATTTAATCCAATCAAGCAATTTCTTGTCTCTTGGGTATGTAAGCGTAATGTAGCAACTTAGGCATAATAAATAAAATATGGTCAACTAAAAGTACTTGATGCAGTACAACCAGGTCTTGCCTTTTAAGCCTTGCATAAACTTGGGTCATACTTGTTAAGCATGGTGATCTCACACTTTTTTAAATCCAACAAAATCCAAGATGGGTACTAGCTCGAAGAAGTTTCAGAGAAGTGTGCTCCCCTAGTCATCATCCCTATGGAGAATGGAGGCCTATAAAAGATTGAGAATCATTTCCGCTGTGTTGTAATATGGTATGGCTTATTATCACACTATTTAATAAGAACCATTTCTGATTTTTTCCAAAGAAGTTTCATAAGCACTAGATGTGTGCTCCTTTAGTCAACCATCCCTATAGAGAATGGTGGCGTTGTGTAGTGTGTGTTGTAACTGGGTTCTTGTCCCATTTTCTTCTTAATATTATGAAGCTTACGTTTTTGAGAAAAATTTCCGCTGTTTTCTATTATATGGTATGGCTAATGTAAATATATCATGCTATTTAATAAGAATCATTTATGATATTTTCATTTTTATTGCTATATGTGTTTTGTTGACATCCTCAACGCACACAAATAGTTAGTGTTTGATGTGCTTCTAAAAACCTAGCGCGACAAGGAGGCACAAGTTTGCATAGGAGAAATTGACGATCATGGATGGAGGGAATGGCGAGAGGGCTAGGGACGTTTATCAAATTGAATGAAGGTAAAAAAACTGAAAAAATAACCTCACACATTTTAATATTCTAAGAAGAAATGATTTTGCCAAATTTTCCATCGGAATATGAACGTGTAGGATCCAACCATTAATATACACACTGTTTTAGGCCTTCGCCCTTTCACCTTTTTAATCTTTGCCCCTTACCTTTTCAAGTGGTTCCATTTTTTGCGGCTCATGGCTCATGTTAGAACTCATCAAAAGGCATATTTGCTAGAGCACATAATTGAGTTTTAATCGGTCTCTTATCATTACCATGACAATCTTATGAATGTTTCATAGTAGGCAATTCGTACTCCACATTTTGACATTCCGCACTATCAGGCTAGCACATATCTAGCTAGCTGGTCTCTTCGTACATCCAGTTAATTTTTTGTGCACCTTAAATGACCTTGATCCTCCCTTATTTCCACAAGAATCAGTTAAACAAATTAGCAACGCTAACATTTGGCTAAGTTTCTTATTCACATGTATACATTAAATGCTTTCTTTAACCAATTATATGTGAATGTAACACAAATAGTATGAAATGTGCAAAGGGATAATCCTTCTTGTTCTGTATTAGTTCATATCTTAGCTTTCAGCAATTATCTTATGGATGGTTTATAATAGGTAAATCTTTGTGTCACATTCCAGCTATTGTACATCTGACAGGACTCTTGGTGTATTCATTCCATTCTTTGCACCACAATTAACATGGTTTCTCTGTTTACTTCCAAAAGTGTCGACTGTAAAATGTAGGATGACCTTGAAAATCTATGCATTAATTTTTTTCCATCCAAGAAATGTCTTCCAGATAAATTAGCATGGTGCCCAGCTAAAATGACCAAAAATACACCATGCATCCACACCAATCAAAACATTTCTTCCTACTAAAACTCTATATAAACCCCTTTTTACCATATTGCCTAACCATATAATCTCCAACTGCATCTGTTCTAGCTAGAACATATTGATAGCCAAGAAACAACTTGCCAAATAGCTTGGAGATGGTGAAGGGTAAGTCGACCAAGGGTAGGCAAAGGATTGAGATGAAGAGCATCGAAGGTGAGGAGGCACGTCAGGTATGCTTCTCCAAGCGCCGCCCAAGCTTATTCAAGAAGGCCAGTGAGCTTTCCACCCTATGCGGTGCAGAGGTTGCTGTTGTCACCTTCTCCCCTGGTGGCAAGTGCTTCTCCTTTGGCCATCCCTCTACTTCGTCTGTTGCTGACCGCTTCCTTGCGGTGCACACTTTGGGTGGCCACACCATGGGAAGTGGGAGCCATGGTAGTCAAGGATCGACAGGTAGAAGCCATGAGATGAATCAGCAGGTTATGGAGCTGCAACAAATAATGGAGACCGAGAAGAAGAGGAAGGAGAGGGCAGTAGAGGCTTTGGAGAAGGAGAGTGGGGGACCTGTAATGCAATTGCTGAATGCCAATGTTGGTGCATTAAGGATACATGAGTTGGAGGAGTTGAGAAAGGAGCTTTGTATGGTACAAGACATGGTCAAGGAGAGGTCCCGCAAGGTGCTGCAAGATGCCATGCAAACAAGAAGGCTGGCACCACAATCTCATATGCATATGGTGGCAATGCCCTCGCAAGTTTTGTTTGGTGGCCAGAGGGCTGGAACCATGTATACCACATTTCCCAGTTTGAGCAATGGACTGCGTGAAGGGCTTCTCGTCAACTCTCTGCTTCATGGTTCCCTTGGAGGCCTTGGCAATTACTTGAATGGTCAATTTGGAGGCTGATCTCCATGTGTCGTGGAAGAAAGATTATCAATCATTCCCCCCTCTTACATTTCATAAAATAAAGAAGTTATGATTTGTAAGGCAAGATACAGATAATCCTGCTATCTAGTGAAGTATTTCTTGTTTTTGACGTATCTTTGAAAAATTGTTGTGTTTACATCCGGATACTATGATGTAAGATGGTTTCACATCCATATGTAGTTTCTTTTTGAGAAATCATATAAGGATTCTCTTTTGAATTAATCATGTCCAAATAATTGTTGTGTGAACTAGCCACATGTCAGAGGGGCCACCACTGATCATGTCAAAAAAAAAGGAAAGACACGTGAAAGTATTAGGGAACTCGTGATGTCAACCTAGTACTGTTATAAGTTTGCACTTGCTGCTCATATTACCAACGATTTAATGGGCGCAAGCACACGACCATGCTCCTTGAGAATTCGGTGTGTACTTCCTCTGTTTCAGAAAGGTTGTTGTTCTTGTTTTTGTTCTAGTTAATTTATCAAAGACAAACATTTTTATTTTTTATCATCATTTTCTAGAAATTCGTATAGTTTAAAATTATAAATTTTATGGTTTTAGATTCATTAGGAGGAATATTTTGGCAATATATAATTGGTAATGACTTTAATACGCACGGCCGTATTAAAATCCAGCCGTGCGCACACTCACTCACACATGCTCATCTCCCTCCCGACGCCCGTGCTCATGCATGTCCCTCCCTCACGCGCCCGCCCTCTCTCTCTCTCTCTCACTCTCTCTCTCTCTCTCTCTCTCTCTCTGGCGCTTGGCGAGCTCATCCCTGCGCCCCACTGTGCCCCACCGCGCCATGGGCGGCGGCCATGGTGGATCTAGCGATGTTGGCTTCCTTCTCCTCCTCCTAGATCTGCTTCTTAGAGTTCCAGCGAGCTCTCCTCTCATCTTCCCTGACTCCTCCAGGCTTAGAAAGGGAAGGTTTGGGGAGAGGAAAACCAGCCAGGTGGTGGGGATAGCTGGAGGATGGTTATGGGCCTGGCAGCGGTGGAGGTGAGAGCGTCGTGACGACGAAGCTAGGGGAGAAGGAGGTCATGGCGGCGGCGGGAGAGGGGGAGAAGGATGTTGTCGTGAGCATGGGTCTTGGAGCTCCGGCCAAGCCCTAGCGCGCCACGGCAGGGCAGTGGCGAGGACAAGGTACCAGCGCGGCCACCGGTGAGGAGGAAGAAGGGGGAGGGGGGTGAGGTTGAAGACGGCTGTGCGTGTGGCCTAACGCACGCATGACCATTTTTTAGCTGCATCCTATATAATTCGCATGCTATTAAAATACGAATTTAGAAGAACCGTCACTTAAAGATAGAAATGTCTGTCTTAAGATTATTGTTATTCTTGACCGTGGACACTAAATGGTTGTGTCAAGGTTATGATACCTCAGGTATCTCAAGGCACCGATTAGTCAACCACTCGGGTGGTCCACGGTACATGAGCTGATATAAGCCCGAACGACCGAGGCCCAACTAAGCTTTGTGGACCTGGGCCAAACACTAAGGCAGGGGTTGGCCATGACCTCTTCACTCTGCCTTCACCTCATGCCACGTAGCGCCGCATGACCTCTGCTCTGCCTCGACCCCTGGGAGGGACGGGGAGAGATCGGGCTCCACTAGGAGCATCCACTCTGACAAGAGCAGGCACGATGCACTGACCCTAGAAGGACCGAGGAGACAACAATCCCCTCAGCCTAGTCAGACACCACCCCTGTGCCATGCAGTGAAGACAAGACAACACCACCAAGCAGTGGCAGCCAGTACAGTCACCCACCATCCAAATATGGCTCGATGGGACGGGTGTATGACCCCACCCACTATGGGATGGGGTTCACGACAGCGGCCTTGACTTTGAGGCCATCCAAGCCAACAAAGGCCATGACCCTGGAGCTCGAGATCGTGGCCACCAGCTCCGCAAGCAGCAAGACGACCAATGACCTGGGGCGGCTACCAACTCGTGTACAACACCCCCGGGAGATCAAGAGGTGATGACGAAGGCCACGGCAAGACTACGTTGCCCGGGACGGCTGGCAGATCACCACCGTGCCTACAGTGTCGCCACAACTGGCACAGTAGCGCCCCGCCACCCATGCCGCGTTGTGGGCACAAGACCATGATGACAACCACTCCTGGACGTGCGCTACACCAAGTCAAGATGACGTTTCTTGCAGGCCAAGTTAGCTAGGTCCCCTCCCTCAGGGTCATGAGCCCTCGGTCGGGGGAAACTCCTTCTTTGTATGCGACGTGGCCTCGGACTCTATATAAGGGAAGCCAGGGCACCCTTCCAAGGCATCAGACTCTCGAAACTCTCATTCGGGCAGTCCATCTTCTAGCTCTAGCTCCATTCTCCTACCTCTTCCACAATTCTTACACCCCCATTGTAATAACTTCAGAGCATTCAAGTGAGCAACATGCACTCGATCATCTCTAAGACTGGACGTAGGGCTCCGGCCTGAACCAGTTTAAATCCTCGTGTCTTTTTGATGCTACCATCGTCTTCCTAGAGCAGCGCGACAATCGTATAAATTTACTGGTCTGTCTACAAAACACCGACAGGTTGGCAACTATTGACGTAATTATGCTCCACACCTGAAGAGCTAGAACACTCAGAAGGCAAACATGTCGCTTTGGCACGATCTTGCTGAAAACTGGCCTAGTTGGTTTCAGGAAGAATTTGCCTAGCTAGTTTTCATGGGTCGCCCATGAACCAAAACTATCATGCTTACATGGTGAAGAGCGGCAAGGTTTATGAGCAAACCAGCAAAGGATACGTGTCATGGGATCGTAACCATGACAGTCATCGAGTTGTTCGATGTGGGTCAATGTGTGCACTCAAAACACAAGGGGTTTATGCTTTTGAGCCCTACGTCTAGCAGTGGTGTTCTTCGTATTAGGAATGCTCAATCGAGAGTTCTTACATTGGAAGAATCGAGAGAGAGGTGTAGGGGAAAGCGCTATGCTAATCTAGGGTTTGATGGGTTAGGCTACTCTCGCTGAGTTCCAATCCATTTTGATCAGTCGGTTGTCTATCAATCGATCCCTTCTACAGGATCTCATGCCTTCCTTATATACCAGGGAGGCAATGGGGGTACAAAGCGAATGGTTTCTCCTAGGGTTTCTGCACCTACGGTTCGGTCTTCTTCCTCTTGGCACCGTCGGTCCTCCTTTATCTAGTAGATAGATGTCTGACAAATTGCAACCACTTTCTGATGCCACTATTGTAGCCTGGTGTTGACCGCCAGGCGCTATCTGCTGCAGCGGTGCCTTCTATAGGTGAGGCTTCTCCTGGCTTCCTTGGCACGCTAGGCTTCTCCCCCTGCTCGGAGGGGCTGCCTGGGTGGCCTAGAGCCCCATAGTTCGCGGGGTTGGAGGAGTTCCTTGTCTTGACGCGTCAAGCCCCTGGCATGACTCTGCTGAGGGAGTGAACCTCACACGGCTGTGGAACGGGACGATAGTGTAGTGCTTTTACGTCTGTCAAGCTCTAAGCGTCTGATAGATTCTAGAGCTATCTTCTAGCGTTGCATGGGGTGAACGCTCACCCTGATGCAAGATTGGGTCGACTATGGGGGCTTTTGCTCGGCCGGGGCTCCCTTGGGTCAGCTGAGCCCCCAAGTGAAGGCAGCCCGAGCGAGGGAATTGGACCCTCATGTCTTGGTCCCTTCCCTTAGTCGCCAGGACTTCTTCTAGATCGGGTCTTCGGAGGCCCCTTAGGCCATTCGCTTATGGCCCGGGGTGTACGCGCTAGCATACAGGATGGGTGTAGCCCCTAGGCCCCCGGCTGATTGGGAGAATTAGATGGAGGTTAAGTCGGGGGTTAACCAGACTGCTGTGCCCTGAATATGAGGGTTTGATATATGTAGCCCTATATTAGGCTCACGTCAATACCTGTCATGCTTACGTGATCACAAATGAGTAGTTTTAGGACAAACTAGTAAAGGACCATTAAAACACTTGCCCAATAAAGACCTGTCAGGGCGTGGATGTCACTGGGTTTCCCTAGGTTAGCTGGCAACCTTAAGGCACCACCTTTTATCATCGAATTAACGGATAAACAACAAACAGGGCTTGGAAAAATAGGGCAAAGGAGAAGACATGACAAAAAATAAAGTTGTATACTGATTTGTGCAACTGTCCACTTCTTAATCGGGCGTCGCCCTTTATATATACAGGATGAGGTGGACTTATACCGTCTAAATTGGGCAACCTACGTTTGCATTACAGTTGTCTGAAATGAGAGAAATGTAATAGTAAAGTCCATTTTGCATGTTGACAAAGCTACCAAAACTGGCCCAACCAGTTTTGGGAAACCCCAGATCAGTGCATATCAGTTTTTGTCTACCTTCTTTGGGCAATTTTTGTTGTTTGTAGCAACCCTCTATTTATTGTATAGATGGTTTGGTTCAAAAGTTTACACTGTAGTAGTAAATATGCAAACAAAAAAAAAAATATCATAGTTCCCTGCTAACTTTATTTTTTCAAGTGCAATTTGAGTTAGGCACAAAGTTGCACAATTGTACATGGGCAATAAAAAACACAGACATAGTCACATACTCATAGCTCTCACATGGGGAAATGTCGTTACACATTACAATAGGTGGTTCATTTCTCTTGTAATACATATTTATGCCTTTTTGTGATCATGACCAACCATTTAAACGCGTTTACCTATTTTTAAACTGTACTATTTATGGAACTATGCCATACACTATATGCAGATCTCCATGTACCATTTAAACCCTTTTTGACTTTGTTGACCGTCTAAACATGTTTATTAATTTAGTAACTAGGCCATACACTATATGCAGACCTCCATGTACCGTTTACACGGGTGTAGACGATAGTTTACACTTAGGGAAACAATAATGCTTAGGACAAAACTAGTATGACAACTAATTTGAAACCAACGAAGTAATTCTCTCAAGCTAGAGCATGCATAAAGAATACCCATGTGTGATCTGAGCCAGGTGTGTATAAAATTGACTAGGACAGAACAAGGCATCAATATCCCCCATTTATTCACTGTTGCGCAAGAAGCTTACAATCTGGATTTAAGAAAACATCATTATTTTTATTCATTTCCAACTTTCGTGGACACACAAACATGTCTTCACTTCAAGTATTTATGGAACCAGTCAAGCATGTAAGCAAGAGCTTGTTCAGCATTTTTGACTGCAAATGGGTCAGAGGTATTATATCTGCAAGCAAATCCATGGGCAACTCTTGGGAAGATCTTGACAAAGTATTCAATCTGCAAGAGCGAAAGTTGAGATATGTGAGGTACTGAATCTGCCACTTCACACATATGCAGGTGCACCAGCATTGGGTGCCACTGAACCCAGCAAGAAGCCAAGAACTCACCTTGTCCTTTCTTTCACTCAAGGCCTGCTCAAACTGACGGACTTGTTCAGGTGGTGTGATTGTGTCATTCTGAGCACCAAGAATCTCAATTGGCCATTTGACCTCTGTGGTTTTGGTGGACATGGTTAGCACACGAACACATAGTCATCAAACACAAAACACAATGTACCGCCCAAATGTGATAAACCGTGAGGTTTCAACTGCAGTAGAAGGACACACACCTTTCATATCATCGACAGTTACATATGCTGGATGAGAAAGAACAACGACTTTTATATTGTCAGTTTTCGCCATCTCTGCTGCGAACTTTCCTGCCAGTTAATCAGGAAAAAGGTAGATATAAGCTTGTTTTATGTACTGTCCTAGGAAGAATTTTGAAAACGAAATTTCATTCAGGCTATGGTTGTGAATTGTAGTGATTGATGTGGATTTCACTCACCACCCCAGCAATAACCTCCAACCCCAACGGATTTTCCTTCCCGTCTTAAATAATCGAAGAGTGGCTTGGCATCTTGAGCAGCTGTGACCTTTAAGATTGATTGAAGATGCAATAAATTTGTTTGCAGCTCGTCATGCAAAGTAAATTTCGATAACAGGCGAATAGCATGCAGCTTACCGGGGAGTGAGATTTGATCCACTCTGAAAGGTTTTTACTGTCGTTGTAAGGATCACCGTGAAAGAAATCAGGCACCACAACGTAGTATCCTGTCGCGCCAACTTTATCGGCTATTTTTCTGCATTATTAGACATGCACTGGTGAGTATTATATATTTGGACCAGCAAAAAGGAGGTGAAGTTCCCCTGCCATTTATTTTTGAAAACAGAACTGAGCATCTTTTAAACAACTGAATCGAAGCAGATTAGTGTTGTAAACTTGTAATGGCTATTGGCTTCTGCTTTGGTACCAATTATATATTTACATTGCTTAATATGCAATTTGTTCCGGGTTCAAAATCAGAAGGAATTTAAACTCAGGAACTGCATGAAAACCAATTTATATATGTACCTCAGTAAAGGTGCCTCGAACCCTGAAGAATATATATCGAAAGAACAGACAATAGATCTAGTCAGACGGATGACAAAATAGACATCAATCGAACTACTAAACTTGAATTCGCACTAGCTAGACTAGCGCGTGCAGGTGCCTAAACCAACCGTAGACGTCGGAGGCGAGGACGACGGCGCGTTTGGAGCTGGGCGGCCCAGTGACATAGGCCCTGAATCCCCCCGGGAGGTTGTCTTCGACCTTGCCAGCTTCTACGCCGCGCTGCGAGAGGTCAGGCGGGTTATCGAGGCACTGTGAGTGCTCATGAACCGTCGCCGCCGCAGCGACGTGCACTGTGACGATGAGGAAGAGCAGTGCAGTGGAGCCCATCATGGCGCTCGGCATGGAGGCTCTGCACAATCCGCGTCTGTCAACTGCCAACTGCTGCTGCGTTGCGTTGGTTTTTATAGCAGATGGACAACCAACATATGATAGGCCAGGTCGCTTCCACGTCGCCGCCCGGCCGCGCGCCAGACGCTTCAGATACACGAAAGCGAGCTGAACGGAAAGATGAAAGCGCTGCGAGAATTTAGAAGTAGAGTGTGAAATACTCAACATGCCATCTTTGATGTACATTTCTTGTACGATCACGAACCTTCGATCCTGAATTACCTTAGGTGCTAAAGATTTTCTTCAGGACCAAAACAAAACCGTGAAGGAAAGTGTTTCTTTGGCTGTGGACATAGACCTCCAAGAAAATAGATATTGTTGAGTGCTAAACCAAACCGCAAGGTAATTCCATATTTCCATAAGTGTTATTACAAACCGCCAAGCTAATTGCTCATTTTCTTAGGTGCTATTTGAAAGCGCCAAGGTATTCATAGTTCCTTAAGGGTCCGTTCACTACTGAAAACAGAGACTTTGCCGAGTGCAAAATTCTTTGTCAAGTGTCAAAAATCGGGCACTCGGCAAAGACCTTCTTTGCCGAGTGCTGCACTCGGCAAAGAATTGCACTCGGCAAACACGGACACTCGGCAAAGGACTTCTTTGCCGAGTGCCAGACTCTCGGCAAAATCTCTACACTTGGCATAGGCTGCCCGCGAAACGGCGTTCGGTCACGGCCTTCTTTGCCGAGCGCCTGCTGTTAGGCACTCGGCAAAGATTTGTTTTTTTTTTAAAATTTCTTTGCCGAGTGCAAAGATTTGTTTTTTTTTAAAATTTCTTTGCCGAGTGCCTCCTGGCACTCGGTAAAGATTTAATTTTTTTTTAAATTCTTTGCCGAGCGTCTCAGATCTGGCGCTCGGCAAAGATTTTTTTTTTAAAAATACTTTGCTGAGTGCCCCTATCACGGCACTCAGCAAATGTTTAATTTTTTTTTTATAATTTCTTTGCCAAGTGCTCTGTGGATGCACTCGGCAAAGAGGAATTTTTTTTAAAAAAAATGTAAAACACTCTTTGCCGAGTGCCTTATTCGGCACTTTCGGCAAAGATACTAACAAAGTGCCATACCGGCACTTTCGGCAAAGTTTTTTTTGTTTTTTTGTTTTTGGCCTCTAATTTTTGTGTGCAGCCCTTTTAAAGCACCGGGAACTCCTAGTTACAATTTGGGGATTTTTGTGGCTTTTGATATATTTAGTTACTTTATTTCATTTACTTGAATTTTTCCAAAAATTAGAAATTGGAAGCTTGCATTAATACGAATAATGAAGTTTAATGATTGAAAATTGATAGTCATGTTAGTGAGTGTTGTGAGAGGCCGTATCGAGAGCGGACCCGAAATTTCGGACATCTTGTTCACGAAACATGTCCAGCGAAATTGCGTGTGAAGTGTTTTTAAATTCTATAAAAAGCAAGCGAAGTCGAAAATCATGAAACTTGTTGAGATGTCGTGTTATCATATATGGAGCCTATGATAAAAATTTTCTTGATTCATTTGCAAATTGTCACGTCTGATGCTTACAAACAGGGCATCTCTACATCCCTTTCATGAAACAAGATGTCCGAAATGTCTGGGTTTGTAAGCATACATGCGTGACAACATGCAGAAATCACCTAAAATTTTATCATCAGCCTCCACATATGATATTACGACATCTCAACAAGTTTTAGGATTTTGGACTTCATTTCCTTTTTAAAAAATTTAAAACACTCTTTTGCGGACAATTTAAAAAATTCAAGCAATTTAAATAAAGTAACTAAATATATCAAAGCCACAAAAAATCCCCAAAATTCAAGTAAGCGAAATAAAGTAACTAGGAGTCAAAAACAAAAAAAAGGTTGCAAAAAAAATGGAGGCAAAAAAAAAAACTTTTGCCGAAATCTTGGGGTATGGCACTTTTCGGCAAGAAATCTTTGCCGAGTGCCGGGAATAAGGCACTTTCGGCAAAAGTGTTTTAATTTTTTAAAATTTTTTTCCTCTTTCTTTGAGTGCATCCACAGGAGCACTCGGCAAAAAATTATAAAAAATTAAACCTTTGCGAGTCTTGCGTGTGGGGGCACTCGGCAAAGTATTTTTAAAAATTTTTCTTTGCGGCGTCGAGATCCGAGGCGCTCGGCAAAGAATTTTAAAAATTTAAATCTTTGCCAAGTGCGGATCGGGGCACTTTCGGCAAAAAAATTTTTAAAAAACAAATCTTTCTTAGAGTGCCTCCACGATCCGGCACTTTCGGCAAAGCCCGCTGGTATGAGGACTTAATCGTTTTTTGGCTGGTGGGCGATCGAGCCCATGACCCAGCGCCACGCCGCCCAGCCTCCGCGCCGCCTTGCGCCCGCCCGCCTAGCCTAGCCACCGCTCAAGGCCCCGGCGCGCCCTCGCCGCCAGCGCCGCCGGCATGGCCTTGGCGCCATGTGCCGGCGTGCCCTCGTTCGTTGCCGCCAGCGCCGCCCGCCCTTGCCCCGTGCCGCCGCCCGCGCCGTGCCCTCGGTCGACCCTTCCCTGCCTGCCCGCCCATGCCGGCGTGCTCGGCCAGCCCTTCCCCCACCGCTGCCCATTGCGCCTTGCGATGCCCGTGCGTTCGCATTTGCCATGCCGCTGCTCTTGTATGCCCCGCCCGCCCCGCCCGGCCAACCGACCCTTCGCCCCCTAACGCGCCCTTTCGACGCGCCCGCTTCGAGCCCCGCCCTACCTTGGCGCCCGTGGACCGCCACCGCCTGACGCCGTCCGTGCCCGCGCCGATCCCGATCCCGGCCGCCCCCTACCCGGCACCCGTTAGGTATGCCTTCTCACTTATTATTGTCGAGGTAGTGGTAGTTGTAGTAGTATTAGTTGTACTAGTGGTAGTAGTAGTACAACTAGTGGTAGTATTAGTAGTAGAATTAGTGATAGTAGTAGTAGAAGTAATGGTAGTAGTAGTAGTACAACTAATGGTAGTAGTTGTAGTAATAGTGGTAGTAGTAGTGGAACCAATGGTAGTAGTAGTAGCAATAGTGAAAGTAGTAGTACAAGTAGTGGTACTACTTGGATATATTCTTCTGCATGGATTGATATCCAAACTACATGGCTTCTGTTGAGCCATATGTGCTTGTCGGCCATCGTGCCGTTGTTTTTTGTAGGTTTTCAAAACCTCACCGTGCAGGGGAGGTTCTGCCGATTTTTTTTGTAAATGACAGTATTTTGTTCCATTTTTGTAGAGAAGGGTCCGTCGGAGTTGAGTCGGAGTTCTCGCCACCGTGCTAGTCTGCCTGCACCGCGTCGTCTCGCCACTACACCGACCCGCCACGGCCCCGCTAGCCTGACTCCGCCGCCACCCTAGAAATAACCCCTCTTTTCGTATCATTGTCGTAGATCGCGTAACCCAGTTAGGCGTCTCCCGTTCGAAAGAGATACGGTTGGAGGTATGCAGATCTTTGCATATCTATGACCGTATCTATTTTGGATTGTCCACGTTTTTTGGACAGCCCGCGGA